TGGTAATCCTTTCACAGGACGAATCCGCCGGCCGAAATAAAACCAAATATTTCTCGTTTCGAATTAAATCGTTTTAAAAACTGAGAGCAATTTTACAACGATCACAAATCATATTGTAACCCGGATTTGCTCGAAATCTAGTGGTTTAAATGACTACGTTCGACAAACGTTTCTCTTTAAATAACAAATACTCGCATGTGGGCGTGCAAACAATTCCTCGACAAATATAAATGTTTCGACCATAGTAAATCGTCGATGTTTTATTCTTAATTTCTCGACTTGTTTCAAACGCGATTCCGTTCGAATCGTAACGGTCGAATGGTATTCTAATAAATTCAAGGAAGCCTACTTCTCAACGGGAGAGAAAAGTAACTGACCGACATGCACAGCATCAAAAATGCAGCCCCGCGTGCATCGTCTATAGTTTCGCTCGTGTTTCCCTCGAGTCGATCGAACTGCCTCGAACAGTTTCAATCGGATAGAACGTGGAATCAGGAAGCGCGCGATTATCGACTTCGTTCCTCGAATCATTCCGTGAACCGTCTAATGATCGCCTCACCAGTGTCTGCCAGTGACTTATTGGCAGTATGAGTTCCATCAATAAAAGCCACAATACGCCCATCACGGTGCTTCCATTTCCATCATCGGCGACTACAGACGTTTATCAATATCCCCTACACAGACGTACGCTCTGCCAACAAAAACGCACGTCATGGTTTTTCTATTCCTATCATTGGAGGGTCCAGTCGTTTGGAACCTCGTCTAATGACATAAGTAGCGTTCGTTAATTACTCGAAACACTTGACGAGTCTTAGACTATGCAAATTCTTGCAATATAGTAGATAAAATCCATAATATTTGACTAAATGTAAGAACACGCATAGTACCTAATTTTGTACCCCATATAAAAGTCTAAAATCGAAGAATAATAATCGGTACTATGGATACGTTTCATCGTTACAAATGATTTATCAGAGTTTTCAACCACCATTTTGTGAGTTTGAGAGGCAGCAATTTGAAAATTGCAATAATTACAAAGTTTGTTTGAAGCTTGAGCAGAATAGTTACTGTTTTTCACTTAAAAGCAACGGTAAGGAAGATTTTTATCAAACCCTTTTAGAACTTGAAGTGGAGCATGCTACCCAGGGTGTTGTTAGTATCGATAGAATTTATGGTAGCACTTGGCGAAGACTGTGGTAGCTTTTTTAAAAAACTGAGAATTAAATATGTTGAAATTGAGGCTAGACTCGAACGATAAATCGACGGATTGTTTCCTGTTAAGGCCAAAGTACGCGATCGAGATTAGAATAGTAACGCGTTTAGCAACGAACCAGACCTTTCGAGCGTTCCAAATATAAAAACTGCCTCGATACTTAAATTAGTGATCGTATAAATCTCGATAAACAACCGCGGTTCCGTTTATATCACCGGAAACTACGGCCATCTATCAACACCACACCTCATAATAAAACCAATAATACCTAAACATCGGAAAAGCAGAGGTTTTCCTCTTAACTATAACAGAATCAGTCTCTGCCTTCAAACCCGATCCATAGACAGATCACAGATCTAACGCAGAACTAACGTCTATAAATCATCAACATCCCAAACGTTCCGCCCAGACGTCTGGTCCATCAGGAACGCGATTAGCGATCTTCATAAGCGAACAAAATCATCCGAACGCCGTAAACACTTCGTTCTCGATATATCTCAATAAATGTTCGCTTTATTTTCGTTCATAGACTCTATTGTTAGACCATGCAAGTTCAACATCGCGCCTCTCTAGGCTCGTTCCACGAAACAGGAGTTCAATCGAGACAGTTTCGACTAACAAACGAATCTCTACCAATCAGTAACCCCTCCAATCAGCATTTGTACGAATTTCAATAAACGATCGCCACTACGCACTACGAGCTACCTTCGTATATTGCTCGAGACACCTAATTAATCAGAAACACCAGCTGTGTTCATGAAGGGAGCGAATCGTGTACTCCAAACTGATCAATTTCCCTGTACACGGGCATCAATGATACAAATTTCAATAATTACACGCCCGGTTGTCAACCGTGGACTCCCATTCGCGGAACCGTGGACCGTCGACCAATGGTACTAGTCGATGGGCGTGTTCCGCGAGACGTTTGATTAATAAGGAACACGAGTAGTATTCACAAATGGGTCAGATCGTCAATAAACCATGTCAATCGCGCCGTCAACCTGCTCATACTCGAACCATCAATCAGCCATACGTCGATACACGTTCTCTCGAAATTAATTCATAGACACCGTTGCTGGATCTTAGGAACTCGCTGGCCAATACCGTTCCCTCGATAGATATATTTCGCGAGGCATCGGGCACACGCGAGCATTCATAAATAGGTCAGATCGCCTACGCATCCCAAACGCGTCAATATGATCAAACCCGGGTCATCAATCATACAGACTTCAATAGACATTCACTTTACGTTCGTTCCCGGTCGTCGATGATAGGTCTCTGAACGTTCCACCAACATCCTCGGATAGATATGTTCCGCAAAACGACATGTTAATCAGGAATACGAGCTGTATTCATAAATGGGTCAGGTCGTTTACACTGTCTATTTACCGTTAGCAGGTTCGTTAGTTGCACGACTCTCGATAGACGTATTCTCTTTTATTTATGATAGAGAAATTGTTGAGCCGTCGATGTTCGTCGTTCTACCTTGTTTATTCCTAGTTTCGTCATGTTCCAGTGAGCAAATATTACAAGAGAAATCATCGGTAAACCGAGGATCTTTGTGCAAATTAATATTTTTATTGCAACAGATAATAGATTCTATCAGTTTCATTCACAGTCCTCAGTGATAGGCTTCTGAAAAACAGTTATCGTTGACGCCATGTTTACAATCCCAACAAATCTATTCTTTCGTATCTGGATCATTGGTTATGCAAATTCCAATCGCTTTAGTTCATATACCTGATTGCTAAGTCCTGTAGCTTTCTCCCAACATGGAGTCCCAGCAGACCAGTTCCATTAGGCTGGTTAATCATAAATGCGAGTCCATGATCGGATCGGATCGTTCGTACATCCGAAACAAGGCAATACGCTCGTGTCTTGGTTATTAATCACAGTTCGATAGATTTTATATTCGTTTATGGAATTTCTAGGATTTCGTTGCACCCGCAACAAGGAGTACAGATATTCGTAAATGGGTCGGAACGTCTATAAATTACACGCGCGTAGATCCGGCCATCGGTCATGGAGGCGTCAAAGGACGTTCGCGTGACATTCGTTCATGGATCCCCATTAATAAGTCTTGGGACTTTGCGTCTGACATCCAGCACGCAGAAGTTTCACGGAACCATCAAGTTCATCAGGAAAACGAGTAGTCGGATCATACGCACGTCTGTTTCTCTATACGTAGCTGGTTCATCAATCACGCAATCCTCCGTAACCGTTTGCTTTTATACATAGGCCTCAATCGTTACGTTCTATCGCATCGATTTATAGTTCGGAATATTTTTTATATATTTCATCAAAGTCAGAATATGTTCATATTTTGCTATTCGCTTTTATACATAGACCTGATTGTTAAGTAGTTTGGCTTCATAGTTCGAAATGTTTTCTGGATCCATCGAGTTCCACGGACTGAAGGAAAGGAACACTGGTATTCGCAAATAGGTCGTATCATCTGTAAATCACAGACACGCGAATCTGCTCCAGATCATCGTGCAGATGTCAATAAACGTTCATCTTGACATTCGTTAATAGAATCTATTACCAGGTCTTGGGACTCGATATATTTCTCAAAACGTCAAGTTAATTAGGTAAACGAGCAGTGTTCGGAAGTAGGTCAGATAATCCACGCATCTAGTATTTCCCTGTAACGAGTCCATCGATATGCTCTCGAGCGTGGACCTAATCGTTTGGGTACATTAATCATAATACGGAGTACGAGTGCAAGCCTTTCGATCGAGCTCGCAGACTCTAGCGCAGTCGTCGGATTTTGTACATTTGCATTAAGCTGGATGGGTTGCTAGATCAACGCCATAGTTGGTACCAAAATGGTGGACAGTCGTACACTAAAATTTTGTCACTTATGTTCGGTATTTAGTATTTTCTTTATTCGGGTGCTCAGAGTCCCTATTCCTCTCACATTCTTCTGTAAAAAATTTAGCTGGACTGGAGAACTTTTTATCCCTTTGCACTTGGAGTCTTCGATCTGGTACTACTAACTTAAGCACACTTTCAAAGGAAATAGACAGTAAATACTCCAAGCAAACATATCTTTTTCTCCATTCTTTGCTTAGGTATTTCGTCCTATATAATTGGAAGCAATAATGTCGTTTCCTAGGAAAGTACATTGAAATTCTGTGCTTGATGTCCCTTCAGAGGGCAAAGGGTTAAATATGGAATAGTTGTAGATTATCGGAGGCATCGACGGGTGATTGGACTAAGTCGGAGGGATAGGTGGTCGCGAAAGAAGGTCTCGAATCCGTATATTCGTGGGATAGTCGGCGATTTTCGGTGGCGGCGCGAGAACTCCTACTATTTATAAACGGTGTTGAACCCGGTCGCATTGGCGAACCTCTGGTCCGCTCGAGCTGCCGCCTCGTGGCCCGTCGGCGTGGGGAACAATTCGCCACCCCATGGTAAAAATAGAAGCTCCTAGCCAGCTAGCCGAAAGCTCGAGGCTAGAGCTCGAGCGCGAGCGAGCGAGCGACCGCTCTAGCATCATCGCTAGAGCGGACGGACGGACGGACGGACGGAGGTACGCGGAGCGTCTAACGAGCGTAACAGAGGTGGCGAACGTCGCGACGCACCGGCCCTGCCACCGATGCTGGTGTTGTTCCTCGTCGTCACGTCGTCAGAGCGCGCGCGCGCGTGTGTGTGTGCCGTGTGGTTTCGTCCTCCTAGTCGTCCGTCCTCTCGTTCTCGGTGTTTCGGAGAACCGGAGAACCGGAGAACCGGTCACGGGGTGCAACGTAGTCCTGGTGGAAGCTCCGTCGCGCGGTGAATATTTCGAGAGACGGCCGGGTAGTCGATCCTGAGGGTCGAACGAACCGAGCGAAACGAGCTTTCGCGCCTTGGTTCGCGAGACCGACCGAGAACAGAGAGAGAGAGAGAGAGAGAGAGAGAGAGAGAGAGAGAGAGAGAGAGAGAGATAGAGCCACATTCCGAGTGGATCACGGATGCTTATAGAAGCGTTGCGTAACGGCGTCAGACGGACGGCGAAAACCGCGGCTGTTGGTCCGACGAGTTTCGGACAAGTTCGACGAAAAGTCTGCCCGCGCGGGTCCTCTTCTGGCATCGAGGCGGACATCGAACGCCCTGGAGACGGATACCGATCACGAGAATCGCCGATCCACGCGTTCTCAGTGCTGGTTCGATACGGATCGTAACCGATAGTTCGACGTACGCGGTATCGCAAAGTGTGGGTGACGGAGTGGGTGAGAGTGAGTACTCGGTTCCAGGAGCCGCGAGCCCGGGTCCGTTAGATCGTTCGCGGGAAGAAGGGATGCGGAGAAGGAGGAAGTGATATATCGTCAGGGGACAAGGTGTTTTCCAGGGTTAGATCCTGCCGGGTGTATATCGATTCCGCGTGTCCCGCCGAGCGGTTTTCAAGGCCGACACCGCGGTGCTCGGCCACGCAGGAGGAGCCGCGTCGATCTCCTCCGTGGTGGCTGTGATCGTTCGACGGACGACACGGTGCTCGCAACGATGTGTTTCCCTCTGCGTCCGTTCCTCTTCTACCGACGGGGACTAAAATTAACCCGCGTCGAATCCTAGAAAATTTCGGTCTAGCCTCTCTCCGTAGCGTCTCAGGCCGAATCTCGTATTTTTAGCCCGCGTGCACCACGGCAGAGGAGAAGAGAACGAAAGGGAGAGAAAAAAAAAAGAAAAGAAATCGCGCGGTCTGTCCTTGACACCGTGTCAAGGGGGCGGGCACCGCGTCGAACGATCGCGGCGGTCGATCGCGGAGGGATAGATCAGCAGAGGGTTGTTCGGTGATCTTGCAGAGGACCGCGGTGAGCAAGCGATACGAGAAACGTGGAGGCGGACAGGAAGGATGGAGCAACGTCCAGGGGGACGCGCGTGCGATTTTTGCTAACGGGCAGCACGACGGCAATAACGAAGACGACGACCACGACGACGACGACGACGAAAAGGAAGAAAAAGACGAAGATAACGACGTGGGTGGCCGAGGCACAGGGAGGAGGAGGTGGTGGAGGCGCGGCGCGAAGAGATGCAGCAACAGCCGCAGTCTGGCCAACAGTCCGGGGCACCGAACGGGGTGGCAGGTGGTGCCCAATTGCCTCAAACAGGTGGCATAAGCTCGACCCAACCTGGAGCGACAGGTACCGCCACGGCGGCGTCCAATCGAGCCCAGGTTAACGGCGGCAGATTCGATTTCGACGATGGCGGCACCTACTGCGGCGGTTGGGAGGACGGAAAGGCACACGGACACGGCGTATGCACCGGACCCAAGGGCCAAGGTGCATACTCCGGTAGCTGGCACTATGGGTTCGAGGTCTCCGGCGTCTACACCTGGCCTAGGTGAGATCAGATCCCAGCGTTCGGTTTCTTATTCATTTTTGGCATGCTTTCAACCCTCTTACTCGACTCCTGGGAGCTTCTCGAGGCTGACGTCTCGGGAACGATGCCTCCTTCTGCCCTCGAAATCCAGTTTCTGCCCGCGGGAACCTTGAACCGGTCTCCTTCGATCTTCCCGCCAGGGCGAACTTTGGCAAATTTTAATCGAGATCGAGAAATAATTTTTTATTACCTTTCGCCCAAGTTTGGCTTAAAGATAGTTTTTTTTTTATTTGTATTCCTTGCTTGTGAATAAAATTTGCCCGACTCTGGGACTTAGATAGCTTATAGAAGATGTCCAGTGGGAAAGAGACCACCTTGATCGCTTTTGTTTTAGTTATGAAAATAATTACTGAGACAAATTTTAATTTATGTGGTTTACAATCGTCTAAAATCAAAGTTTTGGTCTCACAGTTTTAAGCAACGAAGAAGAGCATTGTTTAGAAAAATTGTATGGCAACAAGGGGTGGTTCCTTTATTTTGCTTGGGGATGCAGAGAAAATTTGAAGTTCATCTTGGTTGAACGTTAAATTACTTATGAAAAAATGTGATAGAGTACTAAATTTTGAGAATACAAATATTAAAACTGATAATTCCTAAGATATTCAGATGCAGTGTTAAAGTAGTTCCACGTTCCACTGCTTGTTTACATTCGAGACGATGGATACACGCGTCATAGTTAACTCAATAATTAGAATTCCAATTATTAGGTACCTGTATATTGCAGAAATTATTACTCTTAGCCTAGATATACTTTAATACATTTATTTATCAAATGTAATTTAAAAAAACCAAGATGACTTTCAAATTATATCTACTCTTTCAACTATAAATAAAACTATTGCTATATTGTGTCTATTTCAAAGCCGTGAAATTTTGATAATACTTCCTATTATTTAAAATAGAGAAGATTATAATTATAATTGAAACGCTAGACAGATTTGGAGAGAGAATATTCTAGAACTGCCATAATAATAGTATTTATTTTTAATATTCTTAAAGCTTAAATATTGCATTTGTGTTTACAACTTTCGTTCCCACTTAAAAATTAATCTCCAAAGATGGTTTCGAATCCAGAAACTGAGAACGTCTATTAAATAATGCCTGTCAAGACCCAGGCTTCTAGGGTTTGAGAAACGATCTTTGCAATTTACACGAAACCACGGTGCACTGCTTGTTCGTCAAGGATTAGCGTTGATCTCTACTAAGCCTGACTCTATGCACATTGTTAATTCCTAGATCGTCGTCTTCCATCAGCGACGACACCCTGTATCAACATAAATTTTAAATTTAATTAACAAACGTTGCTCCAACTTCCAATTCGTCCAAATACTCTCCATATATTGTTAAAAATATGCTTCCCTTCTCTTTTCGTGAAAAATCACGAAGCTTTTCTCGAGCAGTTAAGATCGACGACGTCTTTTGAACGCAGATGTTAGATAAAGACGAAGCTCGACGATAAATGAAAATAATTTAGTCTCGTTAGTTCGTTCCACCGTGCACCGATCGCGAGTATCTCAGGAATACATCTTGATCGATGTATCAATCACTCTCGAGAGTCTCGAAACACAAACGCCTATCTCTAGAGCTAAATCTCCTCGCAGTCGTAAGAGGATTAAAATAATTACGCCCAGAGACAAAAACACGATCCAGCGCTATACCGCTCTATTCAAAACTCTCCAAAGTCCACTCAAGGTTTGTTCCACCCGCTCTTCGGGTCATTTATAAGCCATAAAATCGCATAATAATCTTATGCTTAGACAACGATACCAAGTAGCTGTCAAAATATAAATATTCCATCTTCTGAAATTCGACCATGAAATATCACACAGAGTATCTGCATTTTCCCCTTTGTTGCTATTATTGATAGAAATTGGACAAATTTTGTAAATCTTTCTTCTCTTATAATTCCTCAAAAATTCCACCTTCTGAATCTCAACCATGAAATACCACAGACAGATTCTCCATTTTCTATTACTGATCAAAATTGGGCTAATTTTGTAAATCTTTCTTCTCTGATAATTCCTCAAAAATTCCATCTTCTGAATCTCAACCATAAAATACCACAGACAGATTCTCCATTTTCTATTACTGATAAAAATTGGGTAAATTTTATCAATCTTTTTCCTTTTATAATTCCTCTAGATCGACGAAATGGCGTCTTATTGAAAGTTTGAGCGTCGTGATCTAGAGAAAATTTCATTATCGTCCGCCGTGCAAGGTCTCGCGACGCGTGGATAAATAAAACCATAGCGGGAGTTTGTAAAGTTGTGAAATTACGTTGGTCCCGTTCGCGGAAACTGGAAAAGTTTTGCGTAAAGAGTAAATCGTTGTTTCGATAGTCACGTCGACGTCCCGAAATAGTGGTCGGTTTTGTTCTCTGTCGCTGCAAGCCGCCTCTAACGGCGTCAATTCGAGATGAACGGGGGACCTTGACACATATATTCTCGACATATACCTGCGGCCGGGCGGGAATCTCCCGATCCTGAAACTGGGTCACCGAGTGCAAGGACAACGAGTCCGGGTCACTGGGATCCCCGGCGTTTAGGACCTAGTTCATGGACGCGGATAATCGCTTCCCCGAATCTGCCAGGATCCGCGCTGTTTCAGCCAACGAACGAGAAAAAATAATTTCCCGTTGCAACGCTGTACCTTTCAGCCCTTAGAAACAGCGATTCGAGTGTTCGAACAGTTGGTTCGCGACGAGTCGAACCTGCCTCGAAATTACGAACCGTCAGAGTTCTTATTTGGATGGAAATTTCGAAGGAACGAAAACGAAGGATACAACCTTCGTACGAATCGAATAAAAATAGACATTTCTATTACGAAACAATCGTGTCGATGTTAATTAGATCGGAACTTCAAACAAGGGATGAAAGATGCACAATATTCGTTTGGGTGCTGATCGAACGAAAATAGAAATTTCAATTATGGAATAACTGTGTCGATGTTAATTAGATACAAATTTCGAACGGGGGATGAAAGACACAGAATTTTTATCCTTGCACCGATCGAATAAGAATAGAAATTTTAATTGTGGAGTATTTCTGTTTGAGAGTGGATTTCTTTCGGAAGGAATAATTGTCTTTTATTAATTGTTTGTTGGAGATGCGAATGTTTCAAGTGTTCAGAAATTGATTTGGCGAAGGTTCAATTCTATTCCGAGACCGGAGATAGGCAAAATTCTTATTTAGATCCAAATTTCGACCGACGAATACAAGATACACTTTTATCTCCAGTCGAATGAAAATAGAAATTTAAATTATAGAAAATTTCGCTGTTGGGTAATCACGAATTAATTACTATAGACACACTGGTTATCTGTTATCTGAATTTTGCTCGTTTCTGCACGATAATGAGTCGTAATTAAAAGAAAAATAATTGTGCAGCAACGTGTTCTCTGTTGGAGTTACAAATTGTGGTTCAAGGGTTCAGGAAGTGATTTGGCAACGGTTCAAGTCTACTCTGAGAATAGTACGTCTTTTGCAAAAATAATTGTCGTATGTAGCAACGTGTTTCCTGTAGGGGATACAAACAATGGTTCAGGAGTTCACGAAACAACTTGGCAACGACTCAAAACTGTCCTCGGACCAAAGATGGACAAAATTCTAAAGTTATTCACAGATAAGAATTTAACTATAAGAAATAAATAAATTTCTATACGTCTTATTCGTTACTTATCACTGGAATAAAAATTTACCCCTATCTGTACGAGAGTGGGTATTCTTAAAAAAAAATTTTGTATAAACGATTTAGATATTCGGGGATTAATTTGGCACCGATCCAAACCTGATTCGAGATTGGGTCTTCTTTAGAAAAAATAATTCCTCCCAGCAGCACCATATTCCTGGTACCTCCGCATTGCAAACAATGGGTCAGGTGTTCAGAAAGTGATTTGGCAGCAATTCAAGTCCAGAGAGTACGTCTTCTATAGAGAAAAAAATAATTCTCCCATGCAGCGTAGTTTCTCGTAGTTTCTCGGTTCGTGCGCGCTATGATCGACAGATCAGGGGTTCAGGAAGCGATTTCGTAACGTATATATTCTCTAGAAATGGTCTGAAATAGTTTCCTACGGCAGTGCTATTTTTAAACAACGCGTAAAAAGTTTTTGATACCGCGGGTACGTCTTTATGACTATTCTTGACGATGACATCTCGCGATGGACGATCGTAAACGCAGCGATTTGTTGATATCTTAATACGTAATGCAATATAAATTACGTTGTAACTCGAGTAACTTATATTTCATAATCTTTGTTAAAATATAACCGACGTATATCGAAAGTTGCGAATAATAATATATCGAAGAAGTCTGCAAGGAAAATTAACGTACGATTGAAATTCACGATTGGACGATGAAATATGGGTTATCCTATTACGTTTCTGTATTTCTGCCTTGTCTGTTCCCGAATCTGGTCGGGAATTGCCAGAATCCTCCCATGATTTCTTTCTACGAAACCGAGCAGCGTTACTATATTTGAAGCTTCGATCGTTCCGGAAGAAATTCTGTCACGCGGCTTTAAATAGTCCAGCGTAACGAGGGTCCGTAAATATAATTGTTATTAACATCTGGCGACACGCGTCCCAACGAATCGACCTACATTTTTACATACCGTTCAGAAACGCTCGAAACGACACCGCGATACGAAAGAATCTAACGCGCGGTAAGTACACGCACCGAAATATCTCGAATCGAGAAAAATCGTATAATTATTAGTCTTTCCGGGGCATAAATTATTTTTGACGAGAAAACGATGTTTGGTCGAGGATCTGGCCAGTAAAGTTATGCTAACAGATTCTGCCTTAGGCGCGCTTTATGGTTCGAACACTCGTCTATTTCGGAGGTACAAACTTAGCAGCGAGGAAAGATCAGTGGCCGAAATTATAATTAAAGATAGAACAAACTTTCTAACGAGAAAATATCGCCCACCTAAATTAACAAACATGGAGAAAACTTTTCCCTTGTAATTTAAAATGTCGATTTTGCACCTTGTACGTTTAACAAAATTAACGTTTCTTTTATGAATACCTTGAATTTACCACCCGAAATTCGTAAATAATTTTTATAAACGTGCATCGGATGCTCGAGGATAGATCCTCCGCGGATGATTCGAATTCTTCAAGAATATACCAGCATTATTGAATGTCAATTATCGGAGCACCGAAACTATCCGAAATATTCAAGGACCTTCCTGATAATCGATGCACACGAATTCCACGTTACAGACTTCCGTAGAAATATTCTACAGAATCGAAGGGAAATAATGATTTCACCGATAAACAAGAAATTTGCATTCGAGGGATTCCCGGTTATTACTTCGTCGCCAGAATCTCTCCTTTTTATTTTAGCAACGACACTTAACTCGTGAAAACTCCCAAGTAGGTCAGTTTTATCTACAAACACGTTAAATCTGGTAACCACATGCAGCGTTCTCGGGGCGCCATTAAACCATGCAAATTGCTTTCGGTAATCTTGCCACTAAACAAATTTATTTATCATTTCGTTCGTCGATGTGTAAATTTCTGTTTTAATTCGGAAATTCTGGAAATATTCCTAACTACGACGTTCACGTGTGTTCAGTGCGTATCGATTAACAACGTTAACCAAGCATGTAACAATTACACGAACACGCGTTGGATTCCGTGGCGGCACGTGACAGAAAAATGTCGCTGGAAGTATCGAGCTTCGATCGTATCGCGAATGAGAGTCACGCACGCCAAACGGGTTTCTAATTGAGACGTAATAATACGTCTTTTTGCCAGCCAGTCGCGATTACGCGTTAATCGTTACGCCCGTATCGAAATCTAACGACGAACGGAACGATTTTACGCGAGATTCGTTTAAACGTATCTATGGAAAAAAATTTTACGCGAACTTGAACCGAACGTCGATAAAATGTTTAACGAGCAACAATTCCATAGCGATACGTCGGTGGAAAACGTTTATATTTCCAAGTTAATTATACCTCGAAGTCATCCGCGAATCGTCTCGATGATATCATACGTGATTATCCAAGTACGGGAAAAATATTTAATCACGATTCAGTAGGATCGTAATTATCCAATTATAGAAAAATCTGTCGTAAATTTCCTGGAGATTGATGGAATCGTAGCGAGGTAAATGTTGTTATTAAGAGCTATAAACGGAAGCGCTGTAAATTCGAGAAATATCCGGCCGTTTAACTTCTCCTTTTTTATATTTAATCAACGTTATTTGTACTGCAATTTTCTCAACAGATAGGTGGATTATTCCAACCGGAAAGGGATACGATTCTACGTTCAAATATAGATCGAAAACGTGGAATAAAATTTTTTCCTACGAGGCTTCGTTCTCGAGAAAATCGATTTAGAAAATACAATTCCGGTCGCGCGTGCGCCAAATAATTTCAAGATCGATTTTCTCGAAAACGAACCCTCGTAGAAAAAAATTGTATTCATTGATTTCGACACATTTTTACATGTTAAATCACCTCTGCGAGTTGTACTCGTTTTAAGAGACCCAAGACGATAGAACAAGAAAGTATAGAGGAATAATTAAACGGTGATTAATTATAGCGTTCTTACAAACGTAATTGCACGCGTGTTTAACGATTCAGCGGTCATTCGATAATCACAAAGTGCAATTACCGTGCATTAAAAGTCTCCGGACGCGACCTGGTCTTTTAATATTCTCTTTTCGACGGATCTTCTCGATCAAAGCCCGCGATCCACGGGGAAGGAAGGGTGGAAATACCGCGGAAAGAAAATAGAAAGGGGGGAAAAGAAGGGAGGGACGAAAATGGGGAACTTGTGTTCCTCGCGACCACGTATCTGGGCCGAGAGATTCCGTCGTTTCGTTTCCGTCCAAACTGGAGCAAGGTCTTCGTCAAGTCACGTTTTCCTAGGGACACGCTCGGCGAATCGCGGCTCTGTCTGTCGCTGATGGGGAAAGATGCAACAAGGAACTCCGGGATTTTTTGAATTATGCAACCAACGACGCCCGACGAAGTCGTCGCGCGTTTTGTTTCGTCGAAAAGAGACTCTCAGCCCCCGTTTCAATTATGTTTTCATAACATTATCGATGTTTTCGATAGCTATGCAAATCGTACGATTACACTTTGTATTTTACAAACATTGGAATCGCTCTCGTGACTTCGGAATTTAATTGTTTTAATTCGCGAATCGACCCGTTGAAAAATTGACTTACAAATTACGAGATACCTGTAATATTTTGCGTACGAATTAAAAATACTGCTTCGATCGTTTTTGAAAATGGAACAGATCTACGATCGTAGGGTTTCTTGGAATTTTTCATCACGATTCTGGAAAATTGGTAACTTTACGAGGAAAGTTTTACCGTTCCCTCGGTTTTCTATATTCCACCGAAGTCGGGATGAGTTTCCCTTCGATATCGGCGCAACTTTCAATTACGATCCTTGTTAATTAAAACGGGCTACCGGAGCTGTTTACAGTCCACATTGGTGCGTGAATATCGTCGCGATTGTCGGAGCGTAATTCCAGGGGAAACGGTCTCCCGACGCACCGCTGACAATGCTGGGAACAAATAAAGGCAAAAAAAAAAAAAAAAAACGAGAGGAAAGAATTGGAAACGGATAAACAGGAGGAAGACGAAAGTAACGATTGATCCGTGGAGAAAATATTTCTGCGCGCGCGGAGGTTTCGAGGGTGGTCAAGACTTACGTGCATTCCTCTCTTGGATTCGAAGAAGGTGTTAGTAGAATACATCTCGATTATGCACCGATGTGCAAATTAAAATTAAATTCAATTAAATATTATCATTGAAAATATTTAATTTAATTTAAACGAATTTAAATTCAGTTCTTATGGTGACTTGTTTTCTATTGGCTTCTCGAGGTTGAAAAATACGCAGAGACTTTGGAAAACTTCTGGGAAGTTGTATAATTGTATTCGAAGTACTTCATCTTTTGATTTCCTGTCCTGTGTCTCTTTAAACGTAGTTTACACAATTACTGGGGTATTAGGAGATCTATAATGACTTGACATCCATTTTATATGTTCATTCGTACTTATAATTGGAACAAAGTTGTTTACGAATTACCGAATGTATCCGAAGAATCTTATTTGAAATTATTCTGGAGTCAGAGCCATTTTTCTGCTCGAAATGGCGAGCGTGGACCCGACTGCAAGCCTGCAACGACCGTGTCATAGAGTTTCTCAATCTTTTGAATATTCTAGGCGTTTGTCAGAAACGTTGGCAGCCGTCTCGTATACGTTATCGAAGCATTTCGCCACAGGAATCGGCCGTGTAAACAAATGTCTCTAAGTGGCCCTAAAAATAAAAATCCAGCGGCTTTAAATCTGGAGAACAACCAGCCCACGCAATGGGTCCTCCGCGACCTATCCATCCGTCAGAGAATCAAGAAACGTCGGCCTGCTCGGCTGAAATCTCACTGTGCGCCATTATACGACGCCTGATTAATGCGCGTCGGTTCGTTAGGGGTGAATATACGCGCTAAAATGAGTAGAAAACGTTACGCGAACTCGTACATCTGTTGCAACTGTTGCATAGGAAATATATTAAATTGTCGACGCAAATAGTCTTCTGAAATTAACATTTAGAAATTTTAAAAATTAATAACAGAATATAAATTAAAAACGAAGGTTCCGTAGGAAGTGTCTTAAATTGTCAACACAAATAGTGCTCTCAAATTAAAAATTATCAAAAGAATTTAAATTCGAAACGGAGGTTCCCCCATTGACAAATATCGAAACGATCGTCGAATTCTGAATTTTCAATAATCCTCCCCTTCTTTGGTCTCTTTTGTATCTAACACTGGTTGCGTTTGAACGATCGTAGAAAAACTGTGAACAGAACAGTTTTCTCGCGGAGTACATGCTCGCGGGGAGGAAAATTGCTCCTCCGGGTTCGAGAAGTCACCGGGGCGAAACGAATTCGTCGTCGACGGTGGAAAAAGGCGCGGGAATACTCGAACGAGAGGGAAAACATCGCGGAAACTGAAACGTTTCGATAACGAGTTCCTTCCGTGCGGGCCATCGCGTTAGAAACGAGACTATCGCGGCGAACTCTGATTACTTACATTTGTATCACGTTCGTGGAACGGGGGAACGAGGGATTCGATAATGAGATCGTCAAAATTTAATTCGCCTGACTCCCATCGCGGCCATAAATCGACCGGAAGAACATCGCGTTTGTTCCCGGGGCAGGTTCGAGAAACTTCGTTGGACTGGGGCTGGGAACGACCAAACTTTTAGATCTTGCTCCGCTGAGAGACCAGGCGGATGAGATTGGCTGGGATATATTTATTTATTAAATACTGGACTAACTTCGTACGAACAGGATCGGGGGTTCGAGCAATACTTTCTTAAAAGTTACATTTTTTCAAATATTTATTGCGTGTGGAATTCGAATTGGGGCAAATATAGTCAGAACGAACTAAAATTTCACTCATTCGTACGATCAGAATGATCAAAGTTTTTGGTTCACCCTTATATCCTCGTGGTCAACCCTTTCACGTACGATTAATTGTGAATAACTCTACAAACGTATATTTAATTTTGCTCAAATTGGTTCGTGAAAGGAATGACTATAAAAATATCCTGCAATCATGAGAATTGGTGTAGCCACATTATTGTGGTTAAAAACGACGGAATTGGAGAATGAAAATAAAAAGTAAGAGCACTGGTAGCAACAAGTGCTACCAGGATCGATCCTTTGATTAGCTCCATAGGTGGGGGAGTGTAAAGTAGCACGTAATTCATTTCCTGAGATCACTCGATCGCATTATAACCGACGATATCGAATTCCAGTGGATCAGCTTACGAGGGCCAATGGCAGAACGGGAAGCGACACGGCCTGGGCATGGAGACCCGTGGTCGTTGGATTTATCGCGGCGAATGGACGCAAGGATTCAAGGGTCGATACGGTGTCAGACAATCGACCACGTCCACGGCGAGGTACGAGGGCACGTGGGCGAACGGTCTTCAGGATGGCTACGGTTCCGAAACTTACGCCGACAGTGGTGAGTCCAGCCTTATTTTCCATCGAAAAATAACAATTACCAGTTTATTCGGTACTCTTTCGTCCACTCGAGCTCTAAGACCTATAGAAATTGATCTCTGAAGAGCTCGAAGGTTTTAATATGAGTTAACAGGCATAAAAAACGACGAGAAAGAAGTAGACTTATTTTGAATACTTAAGAAAATATAAAAATAGAATAAAAATTATTTTAGAAAGCAGTGACACTACGTTTTGAGAATGTCTCGAATTTAAGTATATGTCGAGAGTATTTGAAGAGTAGCGTTCCCCGTGTCACGCGATACAGAATCCCCTGTCGATCAAAAGGAAACCGAGGATAATGTAATAAAATGGAAAATAACGAAAACCATTGGAGGACGTAATGGAAAATTGACGTCTAATACGGGAGGGGGACGCGGAATAAAGCTGTCAGGAGCAGATCAAAGGATACGGCGTATCCTGAGCGTCGACGCGAATCGTAGAAATCTGTGTCAACTCCACCTGACAGGACACGTGTTCCTGACGCGTTTTGCTGGAATTTCAACTCGACGACAATTAATCGGCTCCGATCTGTCGATGCATCGACAACCTTTAAACCGTCTCCGAGCAACGGAATCGCCGGTTTTAATATTATTAATTTTTTTTTCTCCGCGTTTAATTTGTAGTTATTAATAACGCGGTTTTAATTGCCGGGCTGTTCGCGACGCGACGCGGTCCCTTTTTCGCGCGAGATCGGGAACGCTGCCAATTTGGCGAACGCCCCGACGCCGGGGACTATCGTCTTTCCCGACGCTCTGTTTCGTTGGATTGATAATTAATAACCGGGATGATCGACTTCGAATCGGGGACCTCGTTACTTTCGGTTTCACTTCGCCTCGACGAACTTTTACGAATCTTGGACTCTCCAAAATTATTTCTAAACACTGCTACACGTTTGCATCGAGTGTACGTGAGCAAAAATTAATGTGTCATCTTTGAAACGAGGGAGATTAATGCTTTTAATTCCTTGCGTTACGATCTATTTTCAAGCAATTATTATAAATGAAGCTAACATGGATCAACTTGCATTAAATTCCCCAATCTGTCCCCAGATATGGTATCTAAATATTTTAAATATAATATCGAGTGTATTAAAGTTGAGTTTGCGCTGCAAACAATTAATTTTCATTAAAAAGTTTTAACGTATTGTCGAATCTACCATCCCCCTATAGATATTTACCGATCGAGAGTATTAAATATGTAATTATTCCAATTAAATTCTATATTTTATAGAAATTTTGCCATTCTAGTTTGCACTGTATTAAAAATGCAGATTATCGACCTTTGTTTTCCCAATTTCACATTATTTGTGATTTTTTCCACGCAAATGAAGCTTCGTAAATTTAGTAGAATAAAATTACACGCCTGCCTTAAGTATAGATTCTAAAGTTCACTTTATTTACCCCTCAAGAGTCACGAAAGCTTGACCGTAGCGGAAACAAATGAATTCCGAGATCAGCTTTCCACGGGTTGGTAATAAATTAATAAACAGTCCCGTTAATATCATAGAATCTCCGTAACTCCATAATTCCCCAACCCTCTGTAACATCTCCTTTCGCGAACGTCAAACGTCTCGCGAGCCGACGTTTTAAGGTCGCGTGCGTTTCGAAATCGCTCTGTCGTAAATAAGCTTCGACTCCGTTCGATTCATCGTTTAAAAACGGCGCTACTGCGTCACAGAAGAGTCGTAGAACTCCGAGCCGCCAGGTATTATATCGCATTCTGTAGAAATCCTCAGAGGGGTCGAGGAAATCTCGCGAGAAAATATTGGAGTTTCTAAGATTCGAGTACCATTTGTAATGATCGGGAAGTCACCTATCGGTGGGTACTTTGCTCAGAGAATATTTCTTTTCTTCTTACATTCTTCTCTAGAATAAATTGTAGATTTCGATTTGCAGTTTTTAGAAATTCATTTATCACTTAGTGGGTTCGATATGTTACTCGAATGTTATATGTAAATTGTGTGTTATATTTGTTAGTGAATAAATTGATAACGACATGGTCAAGGCAGCAACGATAAAGCTCCTTTTTTCATATACGTTTATAGAAATGTAGGAGATTTGTGTTGAATATTTGTGTCACGCTGTAGTTTGGTTCAATGTTAACTTATGTGCAAAAGGGTTGAAAGTGTTTTGTTAAAAAAAGAAGGGGTTACTAGGGACAGCGAGACAACGGGCAGAGAGAGAAACGAGTGATTGGAAAAGACGGACGGGATTTGAATTTGTGTTGTCAATTAAAGTGACTTTAATTTGTGTAAAAAGATTGTGTGCTTGGTGTATTTCAAATTCGTTCATATAATTATATCTTTTGTACATTTGTTCCAAATACAATTCTCTTTTTTAAATCCTACAGAAATATATTAACACTAGATTTACGGAAGCCGTCAATTTGACGTATGTTTGACTCCATATTTAAAATTGCAGAACGCGTAAATATTATTTTTTAACAACTTACGTTGAATTTTATTGACGCAATACCACGAATACATATTCCAATTAAAAAAAAAATCGTATTATGAGGTAATCGTCAACATGAAAGGTATCAATAAATATACGCGAATATGCGATCAATGCCCGTAAATCTAGTGTTAATATACTGTATATAATTCAGTTATATCCTGAACAAATAACAATCTGACAATATTAATTAAAATCACCGCTAGTTTCGTTCAGTTTATAATAAATTTAATATACAGATGGTATGTGAAATTGTTCGTTTCTGGTAGGAGTGAAACGGCCATTTTGGATGGTTGGCGGAGCAATATTTAAGCTTGTTTTGCGCGAAGGGAGTAAGGTTGCGTCGAACTGCGGGGGGTAAAGAGCAGCGAGGGGGGTTGAAATAAATACTCCGGCGTTCCCGTTACCGTTCCGGGCGCAGCTTTATTTAATATTCATCATTCTCGCGCTCTGCGGTCGAGCGCATTTCTCCGATCCATGAAAATGCAAAGGAACACGTTTGTGTTCCCCACCGTAGCGACTCGTAAAGCAACTTTTAGATCGTCCGCGATAAAATCGTGTGACTCACCCTCCAACTATTTTCCAACGCGGCGGTTTGCGGGCGTTTCGAAAGTCCGCGGACGACCTCGATTCGCGCGTGCACGCACGCGTACCGCCGCTTGCAAGCACCCGATCGTTCTCAGGGGGGGAAAAAATAAATCGACGATCTGTCGCCGGATGGGAAACGAGCGTCGCGGTGCCCGGGGACGACGCGGACCCCGCAAAGACGCGTCCCATCGATTTCACCGCCATGGCTGCCAAAGGACCGACGCTGGGAAATTAAACAAGGAAAAATAAACCATCGACGAAAACGATTATTGTTTACACGGTCTACAGCGAATGTTTCAGAGACGCGCGTGCCGCGAAAATTTACGTGTTTTGAACAATATTCGTTTCCTCTTCCTCGTCGACCCTCAGTCAATTAAAAAATTTGAAATAATATTGGAATAAAAATTTAAATTCTGTCTAAATGGAGATAATAAATAAAATTATTCTTAGTATCATTTATTTAGATATAATTTAAATTTTTATTTCAATATTAACGAGTCCTTTCTAGAATTATTTATTATTATCTCTTTCAGTCGTTCCTGTTGTTTCAAACTCTACTTCGCTTAAGGGAACACAGAAATTTTGGTTGACGATTTTTTCGCGACTCTTCGCGAGCAATCAAATTGACCATTTTGTACGATTCTTTGAACGTTTCCTCTCGAATGCGACTATAAAAGCCGATGACACGTTCCCTTTGTAATGGGCGCAACTAGTTTGATCGAGCGTTCAATTCCAGAAAAATAGAGAGAATTTTGCTGAGAAGTGCCATTATACGAGAAACTAGGTTGAAAACAATACTGGTGATAAAAATGGGGGATTCTATGAACGATCGGACCGAGCATAATCACGACTAAAAATTGTCGGAAAGCAGGTCCGTTCTTCGCGCGGTTCTAAATATTTAGCGAGATTTTATTTTTGTCGCGCAATGGGGAAATAATCCCGCTGAAAACTGGTTCGTTAAAGTTGAAAGTACCTGAAGGAATTGAAATCGAAAGCGGGAAACTCCAAGGTCCGCAAAGGCAAAAATAATCACGGCGAGAGGTGAAAAGTAAAATAAGTCCGTCCGTTGGCATTGAAATTTATTCCCCCGAAAGCTCCCGGACTCAATTATTTCGCTTCTCGTGAAAATCGATAAATTTCCTTGGCTATTCTCATTCGATGCTTATTTAGACGATTCGAGAAACGTATTTATTTCTAATCAACCAAACTGTTAAATTTATTAGAAAATATTTAAAATTCGTGTAATATCGTATAAAATATTCCACTGTTCGTTCGAACAGTGCCCGTCCCTAATTTCAAACATACAATAAAATTCCACGACGTTGTATCGATCGGTCCAGCAGTAAAAAGAGCGATAACTTTGTTTACAAGCTACATGGCACCGTGCAATGTTCTCCATTTGCGTTCGAGACACTTTCGAGGCGACTATGCGCAACTGTATCGAAAGCGTGAAATTATCCCCGATTGAAAATTGCAAGGGTCGCAGGGATGATTCATTAGAGGTGAAATTAATTCGAGCCGCGGACTGAAATAAAAGGCACGAGTGGTCGATAAAACCGTGGAATAATCGCGAGCGGAGATCATCGCGAGGCGCAGACACGTCCATCCGTCAGGCGAGAATTTTATTCTTTAAAAAGTTCCAATCCAATTATTCGAGCCGCGTTACGCTTTATCTCGACCACTGAAAATAGCCTGTTCCGAATCGCTCGCGAAAACACCAGAGATGTACGCCAGTATTATATCTGCAAATAGAACAATCTTGGATTTCGTTTCGTGCAATCCCCATCCCCGGCGTGTTCGAGACGAATAAAAACTCGAAACGATCCTGACAACGGGGAGGAAAAGATCGATACCCTTTGAGCCCATTCGCCCATGATTCCTGGCTCCTGGAACGTTCTCGACGAAAGAACAACGAAAACGA